AAGTAATAAAATCTTATACATTTGTGTATATGTATATACTCATATCCTTTTAATGTTTATGAAATGATATATTGACATTAAATTTTGCTTGCTTAGTACATACTTGTATGTCAAGACAATGTGGGAAAAGTAATTTTCTGAGTTTTGTTTGGCAATTCATTATGAATAGACTCACGCCTGAACAACGCTTGCAATAGTTCTTTCGAAAATAATGGTTCTGTGCGGAATACGTATCGCGCACTACGTTTATTTTATCGTCGAGCTCACTTCTTGTTGAATGGCTACGTCAACAAAAAAAATTGCCGCATTTGGAGTGAACCTAATCCTCAAGTGTATGTCGAAACACCGTTACATCTAGAAAAACTGATTGTTTGGTGCGATTTATGGGCTGGTGGAATCATTGGTTCGTACTTCTTCAAAAACAATGATGGCTAGAACGTTACAGTCAATGGTGATCGGTATAGAGCCATGATTAACCATGATGTCCAGAAGCTGTGGTTCCAACAAGACGGCACATCCGAGCCAGCCGTGGCGGTCATATGCCAGAAATCATATTTAAAATATAATGCCGCAAGATTATCTTTCGGATAAATAAAATTCATGTCAATCGAATAATCTATTGTTGTTTTATTGCAATTTCAAGTTCTATACCCCCGGTGATTGACGTATGAGAGTTCTTGCAGAATATTGTAAAATATTTTATAGGCTATATTTAGCAGTGTGATTGGTCTATAAATTTTGCATTGAAATTTGCCCCCTTTTTTGAACAATGGGCATATTATTCCGATTTCAAATTGTTGTGGCATGTTTTCTAGTTGCCACGCCTGTTGAACCACCTTAAACATATGGCGGAGGGCAACATGGTCCAATTGCTTATACAGCTCTTCGGGTATCTCATCTGTTCCAGGAGCTTTATTTTTCATCAAGCGCGTTATGGCCTCTTCTAGTTCTCTGAACTCCAATGCTTCTAGTGTCGGTTCACTGACTACCTGTGGCACCTGCCTTTGTAGATTTTTAATTGAACTGCTTCCGCTAAGAAGTTGGTCGAAATGCTTTACCCATCTGTCAAGGATGGCTTGTGTTTTAGTTAGCATTTTACCTTGTGTGTCCTTGCAGTATATCTTTTTGGGGTTAAAGTCCGCTCGATCGCTGTTAATGATTTTGTTAAATTGACGAGAGTTGCTTAAAATATAATTTGCTTGTATAATTTCGATCAATATTTTGGTGTTTTCTCTCTTTTTATGTCTGTGGATGCGTTTCTCAAGTTCTCTAGCTCTCTGTATAGTTCAGTCGATGCTCTTGTTTTTCGATTTAGCATAGTCTTGTATGCATCATTCTTTTTCAAGCTTGCCATTTTGCGTTCTTCATCGAACCATGTTTTTTGTTTCTTCGCCTGCATCATGCCTAGTACCTCGAAGGATGTTTCCCGAATAATCTTCATTTGTCTATATATTTATCGTATTCTTCGCGGCATATTTACTTCTGATTGAAAGCGAAATCGGGGCACGTACTTTCATGTCCACGAGAAAGTGGTCAGAGTCCATATTGACTCCACGAAAGGTCCTCACGTTCATAAGTGCCAACTTATACCGTCAATCGATTAGCACATGGTCTATTTGATTTTTGGTATCACCGTCTGACGATATCCATGTCAATTTGTGAATATTTTTTCTAACATTGTGCTCCCTATTACAAGATCCTTCGAGGCGACAAAATTCTTACCTTAACAGAGATTCAGAATGAGAGATGAGAGGCTTTATATCTAATCTAGACGTAGATCTGCCATACGCTGCACATCATCCTGTGTTAAGACACCTTGATATACATATACTTGTACGTATGTTTATATATTCACACATGCTTAAAGAAATCTCAGTTCTTATTCGCTTTGAAAACAAATTTATTCTTATTTTTATGCAAAATAAATATTCCACTTCAAAGAAAAGGGGGAATGCTGAAAATTGTCGAAATTCACTCGCAAGATTGGTTTGATGGTTTAGTGACTACCATCATTCCATACTAAATATGTACGGAAGCGTACCAAATAACTTTTTTTAAGCCGTGTCGGAAATTTGAAAGAATTGAGAGTTGCGAAAGTACTTTTCGGCTGCTTATTCACCTTTAAACTTACTAAAAGTATATTTTTTAGACAAATTATGTGATTTATTTATTAAATTTTGACCCTAATTCTAAAGGACAAAGACCTTGCTCTATAATTACTGAATAGATGCTTAGCATTGCCGTCATTGACTCCATCAGCCATATGGAATACACTCACATATTTTGACATTCTGAGCCCAGCTTACTCGCAGGTAATTTTATTTTCAAACCATGTATTGCATTCGTGAATCCGCACTTGTGCTCTGGCGGAAATTTATTTAGTTTTCTTTGTTTTTGCTCAAAGATAATACAAGCAAAGGCTTTACTGGTAGTACACTTAGCACGCAATATTGTTAGCTTGTTCAAATGTATTTAAATAGGTGCGTATTTGTGTGTCTGTGTGAAAGCGTGTAGGAATACATGTTGTTTTTCAAATGTTTTTCATCCATAAATTGTAAATTGTTTGCTTTACAAAACCTAACAGCTGCTAACAGTATAAAAACAAGAACATTTTGAACATGTGTTTGCTCGAGTGATGACTTTTTGGTGTCACACACCTGAAATCATGCAAATAAATATTTAAAGACTTATGACTTATGTGCATATATATTATATATTTATGTAACATATTTATGTCCCACTTTTATGCTCTAATGCTCTTTTGCGATGGTGTAACCAACATGGGAAGGTGAGGTTGCCAATTTGAGAAATTATTCAAGTAAGAAAGTCCACAAAATTTGCATGAAAAATTTCAATTAAAAACAAACAGGAAATGAAAAAGTGTTCTCATATTATTGATAAAAGGGTTTCAATTTCTAGTAACCAATTAAAATACGCTAAAATTAATATTTTCAAATACAATACTTGCATAAAGTCCTGCATACTTACATGAAAGTTGATTATGCCATTTCAAAAAAAAAAAGTAAAGGTGTAACGCTGTAAAACATGTTTTTAAGCAGGGAATATAGTTGTTTGGTTTCAGTGGTGCTTAAAAGATCCCGTTTTGGTAGCAATCATATTGACACAGTGACCTTATACATTACACGAAGAAGATCATTTCACTAAACGTTCAGAGTGAATGATATTCATTCACATAGCTTAATAAGACTGACGGCTTGTTCAGTATTTACCACTGATGTAATAAGTACAAAATGATTTAGCAATAGCAAACACATGTCTTGCATAAAAAAGCAATGCACAACATGGGAAAACAGCAATGGGCGACTTAATATGTACACCAAAATTTGAAAACACGCGAGCGATAAAAAAAAGTAGCACAAGCCTACAACGGCGGCAATAATAAATACTAACTTGGACGTGGTGATATCCTGCATCTGCTTACGAAAATTCATACAATCTTTTTATTGAAGGGACACAACGCTGACTGTTTTGGTCAACGAAAGCAGGCGGAGTATAAAACCATCAGAAAGGAAGGAAGAAAGCGACACAATGTAACGCAGCGACTAAACGCAATAACGGCGATGTTAATGGATATCGAGTTTCCTCTTTAGCATCAAGCAATTTTCTGTTTATTTATTTAATTATGATTATTTTGATTCTGCTGTTGTAGATTTGTTTGGCTTTTTATTAATATTCTGGCTTTCTTATTTCTTAGACGTAGCAACCTAAATTATCTGCTACGAATTAAGACCGCGAGGCAATGCATTGAGTTACAAACGCTCATAAAGCTAAAGGCGCTTAAGCATATCAATATTTACGATTGCTCCGAAATTCATTCACCGAAAACTATTTTTCTCTGTTAAATGTTTGATAGTATTTTTATTAGCATTATACATTTATCATAAATGTTAAGGAATTGAACATTGTTATATAACTGACGAAAAAGGTGTTTTTTAATAAATTTAAAGGTATATATGTGTACAAAAAAAAAACACTAGACATAAAAACGCCAACTTTATCTAACTCTAAGACCAAACTTTTCGCAATTATTTCGCTATGGATCACAGCCAACAACAAGTTGATTAACTTAATGGGGTATTCTGGTTTGAAATTTTAAAAATATCGATATTTTTTTTTGCATATTATTTTCGTATAACCCTTTAAAATTATGTCCTTTTTGTGAAATTTCAATTATTTTCAGAGTTACAGCTCATTTTTTACGCGCCGACCAAATCGACTGGCAGGTCGGCGCAAGCTATAAAGTCGTTTTTCTTTGAACTACTTTTATAAACACAGTGTGCATGATATCTCAAGTTCTACTCAATCGATTTATTTGAAATTCTACAGAGCTACTTTATACATTATATTTTTTTATTTTTGTGTTTTTAAAAAATTACAAATGTTTAAGGATCACACAACATTTTCGATTTCGGGTTACTGGGAGTCCTGATATCTTGCACACCAGAACAAGCCATTTTTTCATCAGCCCATACTTTGCCGGCCTGGCATTTTTTGATATTTTTTGTATTTTAATATTACAATTTATTTATTTTTATTTAAATATCAATTCAATTTAAATATCAATAAAAATAATATAAAGAAAAGTATGGTAAAAATATTTTTTTTGTATCGGTTTTTATAATTTTGTAATTTCATACAATTCTATCGACATAGCTTTATAAAATAGAAAGTGCTTGCAGTCTAAAAAACCAAAAGTTTCAAACTTCTTTTAAAGTATATTATTTCCTGAGTATCAGTCTTGATGATTTACGGTGTTAATAAAATCAACAGCAGTAAAATTGTTTTTCAGATAGATCGTACGAATAAGCAAATTATCGAAATCTTTTAACATATAGGTACAATGCTTCCTTTACTAATCTGCAGAAGATCACAATAAAAGAATATAATTTCCAACTCGTACTTCATAGTTTTAGCTATGATAATCCAATAATAGAGCAGCAAAAATCAAATGCAATAGTTAGTATTTAAACAATTTGGCATTTATTTTTATCACAAGATTTATTTAAGAACAATAAAAATAAAACTTATAAGCTGAATAGATTTATTAAACGGTTATATAATTAGTTCCAGTATAGAAATGTTGTCTAGACCCTATAGGTACTGCAAAATATGAAGTATATAAACGTTGTCCGAATGCATTAAATATACAATAGAAATCAACCATTTTATTAAGATGGCACCTGAATACAACGCTAAAAACCAGAAAGCTAATACAATCTAATACAAAAATTATGCTTCATTATTAATTTTAACAAGTTATATTTTGTTCTTTGTATAATAAAATCTATAACCAAATCGCATTTTCAAAAATATTTCTTTATTAAAAATTCAATATTTTATTTATCTACAGTATTTCTTTCAGAAGACATTTTTGTTTTTCAAACTTTCAGACCCTATTCTACAAGATTTACTAACATTCACAGTTGGCTCTGTTTATCATTGAAGGTACACATTATCAATAAAATCCCGAAATTATGTATCAATATTGGTGTGCTCTTACGTTTACGTCGTTTTATATGCGCAAGTGAATCCATACTCACGCCGGTCAAAACCGACGTCGAAGCGACTTAGCGGCACTAGATTATGCTCATTCAAACTGCAAGCGAATAAATGGGGAAGAAAAAAGAGAATTGTTATATTGATTAATAAAGTATATAATCACTGCGCGAAATTAAATTTTTTCCACAGTAAAAAAAACCTCTGACACGTCAACTTCAAATATGTTGTAAACAAAGAATTAATTGACAGAATGACTTGTAGCTTTATAGAACCAACTTGAAAAAAAAAATTTGGAGCAAGTAGTGCTATTTCTTTGTGAAAATATACACTTTTCAACCAACCTGTAACCCAATTGTAACATTCACAAATCCAACCAAAGTTTTCTAATTTGTTCAGTTCTTCTGAGTTCAGTGGCCTAACACACTGATAAGACAGATTGGTTAGATGATTTAAAGCACACACATTTTTCACTTCCACGACTGGGCGGACGGCGAGGAGTGGAGTCTGAGGCTGATTATATTTAAATACGTAATTATGATACAGATTCTGGGGAAAACTTACTTCTTTGTTTTTCTCAATTTGACGTGGATTTCTTTGCTTCTTTGGGTCTGATCTACGGCATAGTAAACGGAGCATAGAACACACCTAATATCCGAAGCCGGCTAAATATCATTTCCACATTTTACTGAGCTTTCCAACAATCACAAATACTGCCCAATCGTTTCATCATGTACGCAGCAAATTTTGAATTTGAGTATGACCGACGTCGGAGATGATATACTTCGCATAAGTGGCATCTGCGTTGTCGGTGTATCGGTTGAACATGTATGAGTTGCAGCGTAACGGTGCTGACCCGACCTATTACTACTAGCATCCGCATTCGCCACACTACAAGCACTAACATTTCCTCAATTCAGCTCTCTTTTACGAGCACGCCAATGAAAAATGCCGCTGAGTGTGCCAAAGGTTCTATGTACGTAGGTACGACCGCCGTTCATATTTCGTGTTTGCTTTTTCTTATCGTTTACGTAGGTCGTAAACGGTGAGCCAGGCACGTTAGGCAAATTAGCGGCGCTGGGAATTAGTTCAGTGCGCGGCACCGACTTGGCCAACAATGTGTCCTGGTCATGTCGACTAATTACTCGTGAAAGTTTGAGACGTGTACGTGCCGGTCTATGCACGTCGAATTCCGTTATGAAGGTTACCGGTTGTGTGGTCGCCGGTAGTTGAGCGCCAGGCAATCTTGCCATTGTCAGATTATTCGGTGTATCGCGTTTAGGCAGTTCGGGATCAAGTTCCGCCATAGAAAAGGAATCGCCCAGTTTGTATTGATCAGCGCCGCTATTCCACTCTTGTGAGTTAATCGACATGCGATCATCGCATAGAGGGCGCGCATTATGCGTTACAAGCGCCATACTATTGCTAATGACGGAGCGTCGCAAGTTATCACTCCGTTTGCAATTTATGGCTGAAGACTGCGGATTACCGAGACAAAAGTTTTGCGCAGTGTCCAACTCCATGTCGAGTAGAATATTGCTATCTGTCCCATTAGACCGTTGTGATAATTGAGATTGCAGCATGTGTTGGTGTTGCTTCTGCTGTTGTTGTTGTTTGGCTCCGCTTGCTGCAGTCATACCATTTACTTGATTTGCGACGATTTCATCCCGCTGCGACAGTGTTGTTGTCAGCGGGAATTGCGAGCCGATGGAGGTGTAATGGTAACGATGTGAAGAAGTGCGACTAACGCTGTTGCCACCCATTCCACCGCTGCTGTCGATTATTGTCGTCGTGGTTGTTGTTCGGATGCTGTCCTGCAGAGAGAGATGATGTCTTTGGTCACGACAATGTAATTGCATAACTTGGTAAGAGTGGTTGTGATCGAGAGCATTGTTATTCACCGTTCTATGTAGACGCATGGAACCGTTCTGTCGCAGCTGTACGGCGCTGTAGTTGTAGCTTTGACTCTGAGAGCGGCCGGGGAATCCAAATTGACGTGCTAAAGTTACCTTCGAAGAATAAAGGAAATTTCATAATTCAAAAAGTTACAAAATGAGAACCTTTCATCAATTCTTGAATAAAATGTTTCTTAATTGGAGAGCACTTGGGTTGCGATGCTGAGGTATGAGTTATCGGGATTTAGTGTGCTGGTGAAATGAATGGGATGAGGATATGAATAGGCGTGGATTGATATTTGATGTGATGAGATGAGATGAGATTATTTGAAATGTGGAAAGAATGGAAATCAAGTCAGTAATACGATCAATACGAAAAAAGATGAAATTTCTAAAGTAATATATAGTAGTATCACCTATGCCTAAAGTGAGATGGCATTTAATATTCACATATTCGTGCATACTCCGTTCAACTTAGCTCACCTTAAAAGCATCACGAAATTTGTGACTCATGATGTTGTACAGCAACGGATTAATGCAGGTCGATAGGTAATACAGCACACCGGATGTGAGGTCGACAGCTTCGAAGACATCCCTGAACAGTTGCGATTCAATGTTTGCGCTGCTGCCATACACAGCCATCAAGCGTTGTGCGTGGAAGGGCGCCCAGCAGAGGAAGAAAGCCACTGCGACGGCAACTGTTGTACGCGGTAATGATGAAAACATTTGTAATGAACGAGGTAGAGAAGACGAGAAATTACAAAAAAAAAACACAAAACACAATATGGAAGAAGACAAATAAAAAGAAAAGCATTAGAATGAGCAAGCATACAATTTTTTAAATGGTGATGTAAAAGTTACAATTGGGAAATCAAAGCATGAAATGAAAAGGTTTATTTGAAATGGTGCTTGCGGTGTAATATATCAAAAATTTTTTAATTCTAACTCAAACCCAAGTATTTCTAGATGTAAAGCGGAGTAGACTGCGAAAAAGAGATAAGAACAGCAAAGAGTCCCTAACAGTGAAAAAACAGTTGTCGTTAAGAGATTGCGGTAATTTCGGTATTGGTAGGTTTCATTGCTTCCATTTGTCAGCTAAATCGCACAACCGGTAAATCGTCCTTATTTTGACCTTCTAACATATTGTACAATCTTTATTTAAAGATTAAACGTAAACTGTATATTGTGCACTATAAGTTATTATATTCCACATTTTATGATTAGGCCGTATATCACATCCCGCCCCCAGTTCAGTTGTTAATTGGTGGATAGCACAGGTGTCTGCAATGGAGAACGTTTTGAAGCATACACTGCTGCTTTTAGGCTTTTCAAATAGGCTAAACAGGCTTGTCTGTTGATTTTGGCTTCGCGTACATAACGGCAAACACACATGACTACACGACACGTACAAAGAAAAGTGAAAACGCTTTCGAGTCGCTGTGGCTAGCAGTTGCGGCAGAGAACGCCTGCTGCTCAATATGACATTAATTGACTTGAGCAGGCGTGTTGTTTTTGACGCCTACACAAAATTCTATAAATATTTATTTAGAAATATTAACCCAGCACCAAGTGGAGGGTTAGTAAAGCGATGGCCTGGGCTAGAGGGATTTGTGATTATTATTTCCTTTTGCTATTATGGCCCAACTTTTGACAATGCTTTTGTTTACCTGGTTTACACCTTATTTGGTGGCGTAACAGGCGCTTATCAAAATCATACGAAAGAAGCAATTTGTAAATATTTGGAATATCTGTTGAATATTCAGCTTAAGTGCTAATAGGTGGAAATCCCTAAATTTATTTACTGCTATGATGTTTTCTATTAAAATTCGTAGACATAATGGCGTATGATGAATAAATTAAACAAATTTTAGGCTCTACGCTTAGCGTGGTGAAGGTAAATCTACATTATGGAGACCATAAAAAATATTGATCTGCACTCACTTCCTGGGCTAAATTTAAATTATACAGTTATTGATTTCCCCACATTTTATTTATCAAACAAAGCTCTGACTTTTTGAATCCCTTAGAACTTCCATGTTTTCGAACATAGACGTCAAGAAGCGATGATATGAGTGGTTTTATCACACCAACAGTAGTGAGCTTCGTTGCGTTACTCTTTATAACACCATACTATTCTTAGTTTAGTTACTTAAGGTGGTAGTAGTCTGGTAACTTGGTTACAAAAAATCGACTTGTTTTCAAAAGCACTATATATTAAGAATACACTGTAAAAAGTTTAGGAGGAAAATCGAAATATTGACGAAGTTATTGCACCTATACGTGAACGTCTCGTAGCAGTACGCGCTGTTATTATTAAATTATTGTTAAAATTTTCTATCCAACCCATTTGGTTGGTAATTTGAATATGCTAGTGTACACATCAATAGCTCTCGCAAAGGAAGTAGGATCTCTTTCTTATCGCTCACTTTCCTTTTACAGCCCGATTACTACTTAAATTTTTTTTTTTTGCCGAAGTCAACCATTTTCACATTTTCCAACGAAATTGTATAATCCTTACTCCAACCAGAATTACAAGCTCACAGAATAATATTTTTGATTTTTCAAAAAAAAAAAAGACAAAAATAATTTTTTTGTACGCTATAAGATACTATTATTAATATATTACAAAATGAAACTGATTAAAATATTCCCAGGAAAGTATGTAAATGAATGCAATTTACCAGACTACTGCCTTATATAAATTTTTAAAATAATAAACATGAAATTATATGTCACCTACTACTTCATTCAGCGACAATATCAAATACTCACTCAACATTCTGATGACACGACTTTGAGCGCTGATACCACGATGTACATCAGGAGTACGTCTCGGCACTGCCTGTAGCAAGCGACTCCGTTTCAACTTTATACCAATCAGGACGTAAAGAACACAAATCGCCGTCATGGGACCGCCAAAGAAGATAAAACCCGACACGGCAAAAACATGCTCGACAAAGTGATTGCCAATCTGTAAACGAGTGGAGAAAGCACAAACAGATATGAATTTTTGAACTTACAATGGACGGCATAAAGAAATGCGAAAGGTAATGATAGTCGGCGCACTCGTAACAAAAAACTAAGTGACCTTTCAGTTAAAACTTATATAAATATTACAATCTACTACAACTCGTTGAACCTACCGTGCAGGAGGTGCCGCCCTGCTCGGAGACAACGGAGAATTGCATCGCCTGCGGCAGGGCGAGCAGCAGCGCCGTCACCCAAATGGCGAAAATGAACTTGATAGCGCGCGAAAGCTTCGACATGGTGTGCTGTCTGCAATTAGGCAATAAAGAAAGAGTGGCAGGGAAAACAGAGAGAGAGAGAGAGATAACAATTCACTAAGAGTGCAGAAGCAACTACTGCAACAAAATATAGTTCTACATAAACAATATAAAAATGTTTAAAACCCAAAGTATCTGTGTGTGTGCGCGTGTAAATGAAATTTGAAAATCGTTAAGGTGTAACATTGTGTGGTGAGTCCTTAACATTAACAAGCGTATCGTTGATATTAATCGCAATTAAGTTGTAATTTGAAACTGTAAAATCCAAAAATAATCCTTGTCTTGAAAGTCAAGTGCGCGATAAATAATAGCAACAACACCTCTTATGCATTTTGATTTTCTGCTGCTTCTCTATTGTTGTCACTTTAACATAAAAATTAACTAAAAGACGCACCTTAGTTAATTTTACTAATTGCAGAAATATATTAAGGCAAATTATAAGTGTCAGCTGAAATTAAAATCGAAATAAAACCGTTAATCAATATTCTACCACTTGCACTCACCGAAATGGATGACAAATCGCTATGTAACGTTCAACGGTAAATGCTGTTATTGTCAACACAGTTGCATTGGTGGCTGTCTCCGCTAAAACACTGTCAAGTATGCAAATCGCATCGCCAAATGGGAAAGCATTCGGGTACCAGTAACTGTAGACGTCTTGAGGTGCACCTGAAATAAGAAAAAGTTAATTAATAAGTTAATTTAAAGATATTGAAATCAATAAAATTAGAATTACTTTTATCATATTAATTTTGGTTTTAGAGTTCTTTTATTATCTCGGATATAAATTAGACCCTGATCCACACACTGGGTGGTAGACAATATTTACTATTTACTCGAACTGTAATTGAAATATATAGGCCTTTATAAAGTATCATCAACAAAACCATCCAATCATAAAATTTTCATTCATCTCTGAGTCGTGCCGCAACAACAACAATCAAAACTCTTTAAGTTAGACGAGTCATAAACAGCAGCGACCCTAATTCTGCGAAAGGCTTTACGAAGTAAGTATGCATACGTGTGTGTGTGGGTGTGTTTATTATATCTGTAGACATTTTTTCACATTTGCAGACTGTTGTGAATGTTTAATTAGTCGATACTCTAGGCTCTAGAACTTTGCAAAACGGTCGGGGCAATAAACTTGTATAGCTTTAAAATTGATAATCGACAGACTTATAGCAAGTCAGGTTTAACTGTGTATCTATTGCTTTGGTTCCGAATTACTGTTACTTCATTTGCATATAGCATTTGAAACCTGCCTAAAAGTTATGTAGGTGTAGCAAATGCAACTCACCTGACAACAGTAACATCAAATCCGACACAGCCAGGTTGAAAAGATAGAAATTTGTCGCGGTGTGCATAAATTTATTGCGCGAGATAACGATGCATGTGATGAGATTACCCAACACACCAGCCACGAAGATGATGACATAGAACACAGTGAGCGCAATCAACGCAGACATTGGTAGCTGCTGCTGCGGCAACTCCCAGGTTTGATTGAGCTGCGCAGTGTTAAGTAGATCTGTCAGGTTCTCCGTCGAGATATTCAGAGTCAGTGACATGTTTTGCTTGAATGCCTCACTTTGCAGCAGCTGCTGGAGTTCCACCACCGAAGACGAGTCTAAGGCAAAGTGCGGCGAATTCGAGTAGTACGATTGACTTACGATGACATCATCATCGAGAAATAATACTTCGTCATATGTTGAGGCAGTTGCCAAAGTGCTGGCGGCAAACATAACCGATGTCAGTTGAGGCCGCAAAAGTGCGCGGAAAAACATTTTTGTTTTTGTTTATTTTCAGGTGGTACAATCTCCTTAGCTAGTGATGGGGTGAAATTGAATTTTTAGTAGAGGTTTGACATTGGCTGTAAGATAAAAAAGCATGTTATATTTTTTAGGTTATATAGCATATATAATATATACATATGTGCTTGTATCGATAGTATGCTAAAATCGAATTTTTAACCTTTGTGATGTTGATTGGAACTCAAAGCCTCTGAGGCATATATTTGTTCAACAAACACAGCCACTGGCTTATACTGTATGATGTGTGTATGTGTATTTATCACTGTACAAATGCTTTAAATATAGTCAGCTGGAAAAAACCAATGTGTTAGCCTCGCGTCTAATCCTGAATCTTTTTTTATACTCTTGCAACATGTTGCTACAGAGTGTAATAGTTTTGTGCACCTAACGGTTGTTTGTATCACCTAAACCGAACTGCTAAAGCTATAATAACAAAATTCACTGGAAGCAAATGTTTTTAGCACCTCTACCTACAGTGTGAAAATAGGTGAAATCGGCTTACACCATGGCTTGCCTTAGCCCCTATATAACTGATATTCACGATTTTGAAACGTCCGGCTAACTTTACTTTACTGACATATATAAAGAATAGCTTGAAAATAAGTTCTCAAGTTTACCTGAGAAATGTTAAAAATAAATGCATTTTAGTAAGATTTTTGCTAACGGGAAAATAAAGCATTGTAATAAAACTAAAGGAGGCTATGACCTACAAAATAAGTTAATATGTTATGATACCAAATTTGATTGTAATCCATTTACGATTTCGTCGAACAATGAAGTTAAACCTCTTCGCTACATTTTTTAATATGAAATTTAGCCAAGACCTGAAGCTTTTTAGCCAGCTTTGATCCTTGCAAGTAACAAGAGTATGAAATGCTCGGTTACGCTCGAACTTAACGCTTCTTTACTTGTTATTTTTATACATTTCACAACATTCCAAATGCGTGCGTGTCATAAATTTAGTAGTATGATGGCAAACGCAAAAGTTAAGTTTACAGAAGGAGTAAATTGCTTGAGAGAAACTCACACACTCACCACCGAATAAAAAGTAAATGCGAGCAAGTTAAATTGCGTACGAATTCTGTTATATTGAGTTGCAAACTTTGCACTTTAAAAATACTTACTCTTCTAAAAGCAGATGAAAAAGACAAAGTAAACTTTAAATTACAGGCTATGTTGAATGTTCAGAGAGCGAGCTAAGGTGTTACATCTATACTATATGAAATTTCAAGCTCTATACATACATATTGTATCAATAAGTGTAAGGGAGTACTGATTGCGAAATAAAATAATAAAAAATTTTAACATATAATATTATTTGAGACATGTTATCAATTTGAGAATCGTTTGCTTGATCTTTTCCCTTTAAGTCATTTTGGTAAAGAAAATTTAAATAGGTATTGTATTATTTCAATATGTGTAGATGCTTCAAAAAGTATGACACACACTCACCAAATTTATTATGCATTTTTTTTTGAAATATTCTATTAACGATCAGCATATCAATATTAAATATTTTAAATAGAAATCGAAGCCGCTTCTCGTTCCTCTTCAGTCTAGCCCTTACTCTAACTCCTATTCTAATTCTAACTTTAATAAGAGTTGTTATTTTAACTTTAATTAATCTAATTGAAAGGAAATCTACACAGCAGGGAAATGTTGTTCCGATCAAGTGATATCTACTAGATCTCCTGATAGTAGATATGACCATAGAGCTTATGTTTTCTGGTTGCAAGTAGTTGTGATACTCGCCTTAGAAAAATCTCAGAGTACCTTTATTCATGACTCTTCTTATACTTAAATTTTGATTAAATGTATAATATATATATTCTGAGCATTTCTATATTATTTCATGCTAATCTTAACTCTACCCATTGTTCTGAACTGTATGTTCTTGTGACGATTTTGTCTTAATGTAAAATTATTGAGCTCCAACATTTTGGTAACGGACGCTGGTAAACTCGCCTCTTAAATGCCATTTAATATCTTAAACTACATTGTAAGTCGATTTAGCCAAGTTCATCTGTCTGTCCGATCTGAAATTGTGTACCCATCTTTTTCTTATTAGCTTTATTATTTGACGAGATATCTTCAAGAAATTTGGCATGCATTATTACCTAAGGCAACGGTGCAATCTCCGAAGAAATTGTTCAAATCGAATCACTATATCATATAGCTGCCACACAAACTGAACGATCGGAATCAAGCGCTTGTATGGAAAAACAAAAACTTTGGTATTTCTGAAGGGTAATGTTTCGCGGAATTTTCCACTTTCATGTTTATGTAGAAAATTTTACGAAGACGTAAAACGAAAAAGAAGTTGTAAAATGAATTTAAGTGAAACCATACTTTGAGAAGGGAATCAGAGCGTCGCTACGTGCTTGTATTTCAAAATTTATTTGTGCTCATGAGCACATGTGAAAGGGTATGTGTGGAGCTGATATGGAATACAAACACATACTTACTAACGCGAAAATTAATTAAGCTTTTCACATTTGGAATTAACAAAAATTTTCCATTGCCTTGTCACGGCTGATACCGCAAACATTACGGTATGTATAAAGTACATACATACATATATACTTGAATATACTCAAATTATAACTTACAACTTTTTTGACACGTTGTTTCCTCTGACAATTTACGATGTACTCTTTCTCTGTCATTTTCTCTTTCTTTATGAGAGTAGGAGTTTAATTCCATGGAAAGTTCCTGAATGATTTTCATTGGTGTCAGCAAGATGACGAAACTGTAAAATGTTCTTATTTTTAAAGCACTTATACGAGTACGTGTGTGTAGGTGCTCAGGTGTTTTGATTGTCTTATGAGCGAGCAAGCCAACGATTAGCTGTCATTCTCCTCAGCCCGCTTGTTCGCCAACTCTTTTAGCTAAGCTCGTGTTTCTGCGTGACATGCCAAGTCTCAACAGTTAAGACTAATTGCAATCCTTTGCCACGGTGCGCTGCTTTGGCCTGAGCTGGACAATTTCGTTTTATTGCTTAGCATTTTCAGGCTAACGGTATTTGAGTGTTTTGCTGGCACGACACATGAAATGCGCAAGGATTATCCGAGGCGCCTAATAATTTCATGGTAATAAAGGTAAAAACGTCTTTTGGCGCAGCATTCATCTATTTGCGTCGCCCTTATTTGCCCCAGTTGAACTATTTAACTGATTTTCTTAATTCTATTAGATGACATAGCAGATTTATAAGTTTTGTTTGCTCTCGCTTTCCCGCTCTCTCTTTTAATATCATCATTAAAATAAATGAGTAGTCAGTGGGAATTTTGTTGAGTTTGACAAATTTTAGTTCCAAAACTTTCACAAACATTACAGATGAACGATAACAATTTATCTACTATTTTGCATAAACAAAAGTGTTACACTTAGCGGTGTATTTCACATCTAACTAACACCTTAAACAACTACTGCTGAAGTTTGTGAATTCTTTGCAAAGCTATAATTTAAAACTATTTTAAGTTGAATCAAAATAAAGTGCCATAAATGAAAACTTTGCTTGATAGTATAAAGTAAATGGAATTATATGACGTATACGTTTGTATGTGTTTGGTCTTTTACTTAAACTATCGCTTCTTTTCAGAAATATGTACTAATTTACATAATAGTATCAATAATACACGAAGATAGAACATTTTCTCTCTTATGTCCAGTGAACTCAATATAACAATATGTCTATACTTGTATGTTATATATAAAATATTTGCTACTTATTTTAAATTTATGTGCCAAAGCAAAGGTTTAAAGTAATCAATGGAATATTTCCTCTTATCTATATTTCACCCATGTGAAATACATCTAAGTGCGAGTATGCTTGTTATCCCGTGAAATAATGTCCCATTTATGAGTACTTATAATTATTTCTGTGTTGTTATACATATAATATTTACAATACTATTTGAATTAACTTTCATATGCGTATCCTTTTTTATACCCTGAATAGGGTATATTAAGTTTGCCACGAAAGAAACGTCAGATACCTTATAAAATACCATATTACATCAGTGTGGAGTGAAAAAAAATTTTGTTTGCTTAGCCTGAGGCTAAAACTTGTAGATTATAAAAAAAGAAAATTTTTGGAAAAAAAAAATGTTAACCTCTAGATGCATCACTTTTAAAGTAAATTTCGAGTTAAAATTTTTATTTCGTAAAAACTTTTTGATAAGTGTTCTAGAAGTTGTGGAGAGTCCTCTTTCTAGCTAATTAAAAGTTAACAACTTAAAACAAAATTTTGTGGTCATTATTGGAGTTTTAATAAAAACATACTTGTCTTAAGCGTCAAAATAATTTTTGAGTCAAAAACCGTCAAATTCGGTAATTTTTATATAAATGTGAAAAGATTAAACCAAAACAAATTTTTTTTCCAAAAATTTTTATTTTTTATAATCTACAATTTTTACCCTCAGGCTAAGCTGATGTAGCCGTGTCCGTCTGTATACACACGAACTAGTCTCTCAGTTTTTGATATATATATCTGAAATGATGCACCCGTGCTTTTCCCACCAAAAATCTGCACATTTGTCGAAACGACCGATATCGTACCACTACAGCATATATTGTAGCTTTCAATTTTACGAGGTATCTTCATCAAACTTGGTATGGGTTATTGTCAAAGACAACGTTGAAATCTCCGAAGAAAATGTTCAGATCGGACCACTATAACATATAGCTGCCATACAAAATGACCGATCAAGGCTCTTATAAGGAATCTTTTGTATTTGTGAAGAGTATTATAGCTTTAGTGCAACCGATGTTGACGTTTTTTCTTATTGAGTATTTTATTTATGTCCGTAGATTTTTAAGCAATTTTTATATATTTTTTGCCATTGGAAGAGTATATCTTCCTTTATATGTAAACAGAAATAATTTATTTGCCAACCAATTTCATGACTATGCAAATTTCAAAATCAATGTACGTCTCTCTTTATTTTCAACATAGTTGAATATACATATGTATTTATGTCATTTTGCCACTCAGCAGGTGTATGCATTTTGTGAGTCCTACTGTGATCAGAAATGGTCAAGCGAAGGCAATAAATTGAAA